TTTTTTTTTTTTTTTTTTTTTTCATTCGGCGCTTGCAACATGAACTCCCATTTTTGTTCCGCGTTATTTTTTCATCGATTGAATGACTTTTCTTTCATTTGAATTTCTATCTGCCTTGACCAGGAGAACTCGTGCGAGTAATTGAAACTCGAGTGATATGTTCACTATACTGGGAAACAATTTAATGCGTGCAGAAGTGGAAAGAAAAAAACTTATTTTTAAATACTGGGTGCTGTTTCCTTCATCATACTTTAAGAGATTATCTTGCTGGAAAGGCGCAGCATGGCGGAAGTCGATTTGAAAGAATTCGCTTTTGTATCCAAGTCTTTTCACAGTCGTGCATAATTGATTTTGTTCGTCGACATCGGGTTTAAAGTGACATGGATCACAAGCTGATGAATTTCTGATTTGGATAGTGCAACGAAAGGGCCTAACTCTTTTCCATGCACGGATAAATGCACACAATCGGGATAAGCTGAAATCAAATCCTAATGCGCACAAAAACAAAATAAATTACTGAATTTAAGATTTCTGACCATAAAGGAACAAAGGAATCCTTACATTCCAGCGCTGATGAGTAAACTTGCAATTAAGAGCCCCATTGCAGAGCACTTGATATCAGTAATTAGAAAAAGGCTTTAAGCTCATGATCAAAGCCCCCCCCCCTCAGATGAAAAGAATTGCCAAGCCAACTTCAATAGTATGTTAGATTTAGGTCAGATATATCAGATGATTGATGCAAATCATCGCAAAATGGGCTCAAAAATGTCTTTCCAGTTTCGCAATGTCCGCCATATCTATAATGTCATATTGCTATAGACGAGTCAACAACCTTCAATCCACAGCATAAAAGCCCTGTTTTAAATAATTGAACTGAATGCAGGTTTGAATATGCGTTTGAATGTTTTAAGATTTTCAATATTTTCAAAAGTGGAAAGAATTGAATTTTTTATTCACAATTGAAAATGTAAATAACCGTCTTCCCTGTTTTTACTCGATTGCGTGGAAGTGAGATAGAAATGTATAAAGATGAAGGGGTATTTTGTGAGATAATTGTGGGGAAGTGCACCCTACCTGCAGAGTTCATATTCAATTGAAAATCACTGTGTCGTAAGCTTTCCTCGTTGATGATGGGAAGTGATTATAGTTATTTCTCTATAGATGAGCAGAATATAGCACAATACCATATATTGGAGAAATGATGGAACACACACGACGATTGAGTTTCCCCACACAAAAAGGCATGTATTTGTGAAAATACTTGTGCAGGATGGAAATTTTCAAAATATATGATCCAGATTACAAAATAGGCCGTAAAATAAATCCCGCCGGCGAGAAGAATCTCATTACTTCATGATATGATGTCTTACCCATTGAGGTCCTCAGAATTCCTAAGTTGCCCCACTTTCAAGATGGCTAAAGTTCGAGTCGCAACCACTGGTCTGAAATACATTACTACGGCTCTAAAGCATATACAGTACAGAGAACTTGGATAATTCCGGTCGAGTGCAGTACAAATATTCATGAGTAAGACTGCTCGGCTGACTGGCCTCGCAAGCGCCTTTTTAAAGTCTCGCAATGCACTCACTCATGCGAACGAGGTTCCTTGGCTCACCGATTCAAGCATCGAAGGTTCTTCATCCACACACAGCTGGAAATTACTTGAAAATGAGTAAAGCCGGTGCGTTTAAATATTACAGTATTTTGGTGCGCAGTAAGAAAGGAAATCTACCGTCCACAACAGCGATTGCAGTGCGAGGCGTATGCTCAAACTATTCCATCTAAACCTTTTCCCTTCAACTTGCTTCATATCATTGAACTCATAGTACATAGTCGAAAGCACGACAGTTGAAAATAATTGCCCGAAGAAGAAAACAAATCTGGAAAAGGACGAGGACGCAACTTTGAACAACATTCTTTTCGTTGCTTCGAAGGCGGCGGCGCCGTCGTCGTGCCACTCGGTGGTTTGTTCTGGCCCAATGCGGGCCGACCGAAAATTCCCCTCCCGCGATGAGAACAGTGGGTGCTTCTAAAGATTCAGGCATTTGTGCATGTTCTTCTCATCCAAAGAAATCACACGATGCTTCTTCGCCGGACCAACAGAGAAAAACCCTCATTTTCCCCACAAAAAATCAGGATTTCGGATGTGCCGGTTTCTATGCTCGCTCAGCATCGTTTGAACAGCCATCTATGCCTGAAAAACGGAATTGATTCGGAAGTCCTTCATCATTTTCCACGCAGGGAACTCCGTTTGAATTTCATTCAAGGATTTGTTCGCAAATCGCGAGGGCTGCGACGCATCGTCGAGGCAATTACCGTATTTACTTGAGTACCACGCGCAACTTTTTTCTCAAATTTCAGAAGAAAAAAAAAGGCGTGGGCGTCATGAGCGGGTACAAATTTTTCAAGAAGTTTAAGAAAGTTCTATGTGCATTATACTTCATCATAATGGAGAAATTCGGGGAAAAAGTGACAAGTTCTTTTTTGTGCTGAAAAAGTTTAAAATAGGTTAGATTTTTGTAAAATTCATGCCTAAAGTCAAACTTTTTGTTTCTATTTTCGAAATTTTGTGGTTTTAGATTTACTAAAATAAATTGGGGGTGCGAGTCATACTCGGGGGTAAGATTTTAGCCAAATTTCCAACTTAAAAAAACCCTGTGCGTGCCTTACTCAAGGGTGCGTGGTACTCGAGTAAATAGGGTACCTTTCTGACTCATTATGTAAGAAAACTATGGAACTCGTTTTTACCTCCCGTAAATCATCATATAGGTGCCCATTTCTTCTATGTTAATTTTTTTGTGCGTGGGACATAGTATTCGGATACTGCATTAAATACATTTTTGGGCACGAACGACCATCAGTTCTACTCTTTTTTTTTTTTCAAAACTCTTCAAATATACTGTCTACTTTATCTTCGAGTCATTTCCTGAAGTGGCCGCAGAATCTCTGCGCGGGAAGTTTCAAGTGGAGCCATTAGAGTGCCTCGAGGCACAGGTTAGGAACCATGGATGTCTTTCACAGTAGTACAGTACTAATACAATAAATTTTACGTTTAGATTAATGATGTCGTAATTTTGCAGTGAAGCTGATTCGAGTTGCTTGCTTCAAGGACATCGAAGGTTTTACAAACCGTAAGATGCAGCACCTCAGAAAAAAAGAAATGCTCATCGTCCGTCGCATGAAGCCAAATTCCTTCGGTCCACGGCGGCACCCAAAACGTCTAGGATTTCTCCGCTAGCGGATACTATGGGCTGCACGCAACCAAAGAACCCATGAGATTCTGGCGCTGGGGCTTTGAACAGTTCTTGAGCCGAGCTCGACTCCAGCGGCGAATCGCCTGGAATTCCCCCTGAGAAGAAATTCACCAATAAAAGATGAAAAACTGCGCGAATTCGGAATACATTTCCTTTGAAATATATTCCATCAACGACGATTCAAAAATACACATTGATGCTCCAGCTTTTTTTTTTTTGCGTTAAAAGTTCGTTATTTAGTCAAATGTAAATGAAGAGAGGAAAAAATTGTGAAGCCTATATACCGATGAATAAAGAATTCAGTCGTTGCCAGAAACTTTCCGGAACATGCGTTGACGTCGTCTCGGGGTTTCCGTCCACGGAAAGTGACAGCCCGTCTCGCTTCCTGTTGGAGAATTTCAGAACATGGTAATGACACGAAATTAGGAAAATCCCCACCACATTTCGCAGCCGACACTATGGAAACTTAATGCACGGACTGCTCCCATTACGCTGTAAGCTACCAACGCGTGCGACGAACATTGTCATGGGCAACCTCACGGGAACTTTAATCCTCTGAAACTAGTCAACCCATCCTTATTATTTAAATACTGTAACACATATTTTAAATTTCGGAATAAGGATCACGAAAGAATATATATATGGATATCTTGAAGGGTTTGCGCGTTTTGAAAGTAAACTTCCTCGCTGAAGTACAACATGAGGCTGTCGTGTTGAGAACAAAGTTCCGTGTATGTGTAGCAATTTTAATCAAGGCATGGGCCGCTTCTATAGGACTTATTCAGAATTTACAATTTATTTCCTTAACTTGTTAATTGAGTTAAAATATTATGTGGTTCTTATTCAATGATCCAATCCCGTTCTGGGCTTTTGAGGTTGACATTTTCCACATAAGCAGCGATCAGAATTCTTTCACATGAAAATTCTGCGCGCTGAATTGTAAATGTGTCATTAATTCAGCTGAATAACTTCTCTGGACTTGATGCTCCTTATTCTGCTTATGCCTGACTCATTGTATCACCCACTTGTCGACCCGCTTTGATCCTCGGAAACCCCAAGGAACAGGTGCGCGAAGTACTTTATCATATGAAGCCCATTGAAAAAGCCCTGATGATA